CAGGCTCTTGCTCAGGTTTCTGTTTTTCATTCCCCCATCTTCTGTTGTCAGCTTCCTCTCTTTTGGTGAAGGTGCTGGTGGTGAAGTGAGGATTTTTCCATTCTTTCTTTTTAATTTAGAAGTTTTTGGAACAATGCTGTAATATTCCATGTTTTACTTTACATGTTAGATGTTGGCAACCATAGATCTTCATTCTGGTAATAATTCATCCAGTGTCAACTATACTTATGTTCTTGCTAATTTAATAGAATTTTAATGTGAGGAAGTAAGAGAAAGTTAGAAGAGGGGGTGGAAGAGGAAAGAGGATCTACTTTCTTTCTGGATGATCCTTTCTATCTTTTTTTGACTGACTGTCAGGAAAGGCTTTTTTTTATTCAATGACATTAGTCCTTTTAGTGATTTTTTAAATATCTTAAAAAATATATCCTGTAGGCTTTTTTTTTTCCTCACTCATGACACTTTCCCAATCTGAAATGGACTCTGCTAAATTCCATATGCAATGAAAATCTTTAATCCATGGGATTGGATGACTTTGTGTAATGATTAACAATGAATATCAATCCAACTGACACGAATGTACAAGGGGTGTCTGAAAATTTTCTGCAAACATCTAATACAAACTAAAGTATTGTTTTCATTGCTACCAAAACTGGTACACAGAAACATCACACCTCCCTAAGTCCTCAAAATAATCACTGTTTGAATTGATGCTCTTTTGCCATCTGGAAGGCAAAGATTGTATACCCATTCTGTAGAGGCCTGTATCTTCATGTAGCTGGAGTTCAAAATAATGCAAGTTATCGCCAATTTTTAGAGGACTGTTGCCAGCCACCCATCATATTGTCCAGACATGGCTCACTCTGACTATCACCAGTTTGGCCAATTGAAAGACAAAATTCATGGAATGCCTTCATCAGCGGTGAAGATCTTCAAATTTCTGGAAGATCATGACTATAAAAACAAGAACCAGACTTGTACAGAAGTGGTATACATTTGTTACCCTCCAGATGGCAGAAGTACATAAATTCAAACAGAGACTATTTTCAGGGCTAAGGGAGGTGTTATGTTTCTGTGTACTGATTTTGGTGAGAATGAAAACAATGGTTTAGTTTTTATGTGTTTGTGGAAACTTTTTGGACACTTCTTGTACCTCCATTCCTAACTAGCATCAGATGATGGTGGATGTAATAATACATCCCTTGAAATTTGTATAATATTGAAATAATTCAACACAATGAAATAGAGAACTTATACTTTAGTTTCCAATAAAGAGCAAGTCTCTATCATATGGTGTTCCGAAGTTGTGAATTTTTTGGTAGACCTCAAAAACCCCAGTCACATATCCTCTGGAGTGAAAGCATTAAAAATCATCCTGGTAGGAGAAAGTCCAACAAAGTAACCCTAATTTTTCATTCCTCATTTGTACTTAGGAATAGTCAGGAATATAATGAAAATTCAAATTCTGTACAAGTGCATGAGAGGAAAAGGGATGAGAAGGTGCATATGGTGTGGGATGTGCTTGCTTGTGAATGTGCTTGAGAATGCAGATGTGAATAGATATGATGTAAGTGGAGGATTGTTGAAGCCTAGCAGCTGATCAAGGGGAATCCCAGCTTTCTTTCTCTATTGTGGGTTCATTTAATTCTTCTAATTAAATTAATTAAAAATGTGACAATATGTGTGAATTTCTCTGAGATTTCATGGGAAAAAAGGAATGGAGTTGTATAGGCAGAAGAACTTCCTGCCTCACAATATGGAGGCATAAAAGAGAGAGAGAGAGAAAGTATCTGGGGTGGGGGGGCCAGGAGTGAATGTACACAAGTCTTGTTTTCCAATTTTTTTTCCTCCTGAAATGCATGTTAAAATGGGAGATGTGGTTCCTGGGACACAAACTTGGTTCAGGGTAATGAATCTACAATTAAATGACACTGGATCAACTGAATATTATTAAAATGTGATCTTTTAGGTTTCTGTTAATATTGCAGATTTTTCCAGATTAAGAGGGACTGCTAATCACAGGGATATGGATTAAAAAGAGTTTATGCAAAGTAGATTGGAATTCATGTAGGTACAGCTGTTGATGAGTTTGACTTTTGATCTATTCAGAGGGATTCATCTGTGGCATCACTCCTCTTTGGAGGTCTTGTCTGTGGAATCCTTGCCAAGCTGAAGACACCAGGGAAGGAACAGTCCTTCAGCAGTTTCCTTGGCGATCTTGTAAAGACAATGGAGCCCATTTTTAATGCAACTTCATATTCACCTTTGGTTGAGGCTCTCCTTGGAATCCTGTATACCTTCTCTGCAGACCTGGCCAGCTCTATCTCATCCTCTGCTGTTGTTAAGGGTATGCCTAATCAACTCACATATTTAGAGTAATATAGCTAGTTTCTGAACTTATCTTTTCCTTTCCATAGCATCATTGAATGGGGGACAGGAAATGCTGGGTATCCTTGTGATAGAAGAATCCTTGATGCGGAGTCAGGAAAAGGATCTTCAGACTCAATTGTGGATCCACTTGGTTGAGTATGCATCCCTTTCCCTTGATGTCAGCCATTCTTTGTTAACTTGGAAACTTATTGAAGGGTCTCAATATGATGGCAGGTTGTATCGAAGCATTGGTCGGTGGGACTGTGTGCAGGGAATTCTAGCCACCAAGGTGGCTGTGGAGCCAATCACGCAATCTATTCTAAACCTGGAGAGTGAAAGAAACTTTGAGGAGTTGTGGAAGACCTTGAAGGAGCACTGTGATGCCCATTCAGGCCACCAGTTCCCCTCCTCTGCTGAGCAGACTGTCTTTGAACAGGCATACATTCAGGTTAGGTTTCAACCTTGTTCTGTGGTTTTCTTCTATTCATGTTACAGGAGATATGTGCTCCTTTTTTTGTTGCAAGAGATATACCATACTTTCCAATCTTCATGCACAAGATGCAAGTTTTTTCTCAGTCACTCTTCTGGATTGTTTTTGTGTGAATGAAAACATTCCAAAACTTCAAAAGAACCCATGTACCATGTCTAAATAGTTTAAAGACTTTGAACAAGTTTCATCATGAATAAATCAGTTGGTGAAGCATATCTAACTGAATTTAGAACAGGTTTCTTTTATTGTTACAGAAATCTTCAAAGGTTCATGTTATTTTCAGTATTTGGCAGACCATTGATTTCATAAAACTTATGTCTACTTCATGTTGCTCTCTTCATGAAATGAGGTTCTGATTTTTTGCCTTATAAATTAAAATTTTTTCCCTTATTCTGCCTCATAGTTGTGCTATTTTCCATCCTGCTACAGTGTGGAAAGGTGCTGAATGAATGGGAAGACTTAGGAGACTTGTTCCCTGAAGGAGACATTAATGAAGCCCACCTTCCATCTTACATGGATTTGGGACTGCATCTCCTCTTAGAAGACAGACACCAATTGAATCCCACTGTTCGTCATCTCAAGAAGGGGTTCCTCAATTACCTCAACACCTCAATGAAGGAACGAGAAAAGAGGGATTTACTGGAGGTAATTAATCATTATTAAAATGAAATGAAGTTGCAGTGATGTTGAAAATTTTCCATTAATTTGGTAAAAATAAGGATTTAGTGACAGCAGGCAGTATTATTATTCTAAACNCAGGCTGTGAGTTTTGGCGAGTCATCAATCTCATTGTAGGTTGCCAATTAAATTTAGTAGGCACATAGAGTGACACAATTGAAGTTTTTATGCTGAATTTCAGCCTTATAGCTTTAAAATTACAGGAGCTGTAATTACCTTCTGATAACCCACAACAAAATGTGCTGTTGAAAATAGCGATATGAACTTGAGGCTGGGATGAAAGGGAGGACCAAATTCATGACCTTCTATCCCTTTGTGATGCTATAGAGGAAGATTGGGAGTCACTGCCTTAAATATTTATTGACTGAGCCATTGATCTGTGGGGTCCCAGACTAGAGGCTTGTGTTCAACAGAATGGATGGCATATTGAACACCTTTTTAGTTGAAATAAACCTACCTAAACCAAATTGTGTGCTTTCGTTTTTGGCATTTGTGCATTTTGTTTTTGTTCTGTTTGCTTGCTTGTTTCTGTCAGTTGTGAGAAATTTTAAGTTGAAAGAAAAAATGAACACTTACTTTTTTGGTGATGAAAAGTAAATTAGATGCCAGTTTCAATGCTTTTGGACTCTTCATTTGAGACTCAGCACACAAACTCTAATTGAGTCATAATATATGTCTACCTAATTTCATCAAAATCAGCTGCCTACAATCAGATTCACAACTCACCAAAAATGATAGCTTTGTTTTTTTGGCCCACCCTGTTGATCAGAAATATACAGAAAATTTGAGCTGTTTTAATCCCTACTAGTTTGCATTAACCAGTAATATAATTTTGCCTCTCAGGTTGGATATATATATTTCTATATTGGGGGGATCTTTATTATTATATGGAAATGCTTTCCTTTGCAGAGTCACTGGAGTCTGCACCTGGCTGTGCTCTATCTCATGCAAGGAGACTTGGAGAGAGCCCACCATTATGGGAATAAAGCCCTGGACATGTTTGCCATTGACTGGGAGCTTCTGGATTCCTTGGACATGGAGCGCAAGATGTCCCTTCTTCATCAACTGCAACCCATCACTGAACTCCGGGTAAACAGTCGTGTTGGGAATTAGGTGGTGCAGTCTGAATCTTTTTGACCTGGAAGAATTTCTGCTTTCTTGCAGATGTTGATTGGTGTCCTAAGGAGCTCAAAAGGTGACATGGGTCGCAAGGTTGTTGAGATCACAAAATCCTGGTCCTTAAAACCACTTGCCTCTGATGCTCCTCTGGACCTTTGGCAGGCTCTTCTTTCTCAGAGGTATTACCAAATGTTGAAAATATATATTAACTCAGAAATAATTCAACTCCTTGTCATTTTTTACCCAGGCAAAAGTATTTGTGTGTGCTTGAGAAGAAAGTTGAAGAGGTGGGAGAAGAAGGAGAGGTTTTGGATGCACTCAAGATGTGCTCCTTTCGTATGTACATGGAGGGTGCCTGTGCTGCTGCTCATCAGTCCATTCCATCCATTGCTCATCACATGCTTGACAAGGCTTGCAAGGTGTGTGCAATTCTTATACAGTATCTCTGCTTTTCTTGTAGTGCATCTTCATGTATGTAGGAATGAGATGCTGGTAGTTCTGTTGCCTTTTGTATACCTGTAGATGACAATTTTCTTATAATGAGCCCAGGCTCCAATAATTTGGCATCAGGAGCAGGACTTACAATAGTTTCAAATATTAACTCCCAATTTTCACCAAACTTAGACAATCTATCAATAAGCAAGTTTTTTTTCACGATTGCTCTTTTGGATATTTTTTTATCTAGTTGTGAGTTCCTCTGCCAGGTCTTGTTTTCTCAGTGAGGTTCCATCCTTTGAAAAAGTAAGAATGGCTAATATGGTTTGAACAAACATTAAAATTCTTCTATTCGTACAGGTGGTGAAACACCTATTGCAGCAATGATGGTGGGAATAGGCAAAGTTAATTTACATGGACTTTGTGTGCACTTGTTGTGGGGTATGTGGTAATGGAAGGTTGAGCTAGTCTACGAGAGTGCAAATTTTGATTAGGGAAGTTATCCTCAAAAGAAGGAAAACTTTGGAAAACCAGTGAAATTGATTCTCACATATTTATGTGAACCCAAGTTAATAAAAGAAAGGAGTACTATCATTCTAATATTAATTTTCCTTCATGCTCATAGGTAGGGGTTGTGGCAACAGATGAGAGGTTACAAGCTGAAATAGTCTCTGTCAAGGCTGAAATTCCTCTGAGTGATAAGAGGCGTACATTGTCATCTGTTGTCTCTGCTTGGAAAGAGATGGGTCTGTTTCTCCATTTACTCTTTTGCTTTGGAAAGAATGTTTATTTCATGCCAGCTGTCTTTTTGTTGATGACCAGAGTCTGAAGACAAGGGTAAAGGTCACCATTGGCTCAAGTTAAAGGCCAACTTGAGTCTGGCTGCTGCCTCCATTCTTGGTATCTGTCCAACTGCACTCAATGAACTGATGCCTGAGCTCAAGTCTTGGCTTAAGGAGAATCTCCACATCCACACTCTTGGGTGGGGGAAGCTGCCAGTGCAAAGTTGTATCAAGCTGTATTAATCACTGTCTTGTATTTAAAATTATATGCATGCTGTAGATCCGAAGAGGTCCTTGAGGCATTGAATAAGAAGAGCAAGAATATGTTGCTTGAAGTGGCTGGGCAGAGAGGAGCACCATCTGAAGCCCACCTTGCCCTCTTTTCTTTTGCAATTGGGGCTCTCTCCAGTTCTCTGTTTGGTAGGTGCTGCTTCATATGCTAATCACTGCATTAGATCATGAATAGTTTTGATGGCTGTAGAAATGTGTTAAATATTGCCATCATTGCCCATGTGAGCATGTATTTTCTATTTGTGATGGCATGATTGGATGAGGTTTAGATGAGCAAGTGCCCCTGAGGATCTTGTTCTAATCCTCTTTGGTTCAGGAAATAAACTTATGATTGCAGGTGGTAATGGAGAGAAGAGAAGAGAGGGAGAGAGGGAGAAGGAGTATGCATCTTTAGCTGTAGATGGAATGGTGGAGGCATTGAAAAAAGGGAGTGCCCAGGCCAGGGTTCTCCTCCCTCAACTCATCCAGTTGCTTGACACCTTCCCCCATCTTCATTCCTGCTTCCCACAACAGGTCTCTCTTGCCCTTCCATATTTCCGTTTTGTTTCATACTAATTATAATATAGGAGAAGTCCAATTTTGGCTCCCAAGAAAATTTTCTTATGCAGATCCAAGTATTTTCAGCACAGAACTGAGATTATTGTGCAGAAGTTATGATTTTGCATTTAATACTTTTGAGCAATGACATTGCACCTGACCTGTGCTATTTGCTGATTATAGGACAGGATTATAGACTTCCCTAGAACTGGTTGTCTTTGCTTCATGGAAGCATTTTATATGCTCACACATATGAAGGGTGTACCAAAAGTATCGAGACCTGGCTATAATTTTCTTAATGTGTTTGCCATGAAAATCTAATCCGGTTTCCTTCAATATGTAACAAATATGCAATGCACACTCAGAAGTACAAGTTGCTCTCTCTTATGATTAACAAAATACAGGCAGTGAAAGGAACACATGCACCAGAAATTACAGACACGACAACACATTCAGTCATCTTGTGGATCATCACGAAATTTCTTCACGTAGTCCCCTTTGAGGTGGACGCATTTCTGCCACCACGATTTGCATTTGTGGATTGTTGCCCTGAACCACTCCTTGCTGATCCTGGCATCAATCCACAAGTGTGAATTGCAAGTATGAATCGTGGTGAAAAGAAACAAAGACAGTGCTGAGCAGGATCGGCAAGGAGTGGTTCAGGGCATCAATCTGCAAGTGTGAATCACGGTGGCAGAAATGCGATTCCATCAATTGCAGGTAGTGTGACATCTTACACTTGGGTGGTTTTATCTATTTCCTGCTGAGGCAAAACCTTTGGAAATGTGTGTTTCCTTCATTCAGTATTATAGGGGGATGGTATGAATTCAATCCAGAAACAGTGTAATTTCTGGTACATGTGTTCCTTTCACTGCCTGTATTTTGTTAATCACAACAGAGAGCAACTTGTACTTCTGAGTGTGCATTGCATATTTGTTACACATTGAAGGAAACTGGATTAGATTTTCAGGGCAAGAAAATTATACCTAGAGTCTCGATACTTTTGGTACGCCCTACATAGCTTCACCTGCTGCATATACTAATGACAGCACATCGGCAGTTCTCCCCCCTCCTCTAGAAAAATGATTTTTTGTATAACATTTTCCCACAATATTTCCCAAGTATCATTGAGATGCACTGCATAGTTTTTTATGTTTGAGACTTAGATGTAGTGTGCCTGGCCTTGGGAAAACAATACGGGAGGTGCCTTCATCCTTTTGCTTTCACTGACAGCCCTATCCTCTCACCTTGTTCAGTGCGATACAAGTGAGAGTGAACGTTCTTGTTTCTTCAACAGCTCTAGTGGTTTTCGATAGATTTGATTTGATATGTTTGATAATCTTCCTTCAAATCTGTGATTATGGGCACGAAAACCCCTGTTCAATGATTATCTGTTAGAGCTCTAAGAGAAGACTGTGTCTCCCAACAACAGTGCCCCAGATAGATAGGTATGAGAGGTTCGTCGCAGAGGTCAAGGCTACAAAGATCAATGAGAAGAAAGCCTGACTGGAGCATGGGAAGACCATCCTCAAGCACTAGGATGTCCTAGACTTTGAAGAATGAAGAGAAGCTTGTGAGAAAGGCGAACGATCAGTGGCGGTTTTTGACTGAAGGGTCTAGGGTGGGGTGGGGTAGGGCAGCAAACCCCACCCAGGTGATATCAGGGGAAAAAATTATTACCTCCAAGGGGGCACCAGACTCATTCCCAAGGGTGCAAGGGGAGCAGCTGCTCCCCCCTCCTGCCCACCTTAAAATATGCTGTTGAGAACAATGCATCTAAATTTAAAGAAAAAACAAAAGGTGCAAGTGCGTAGCCCAGTGCAACTCTCAATGCCACAGGTCATGGATGTGTTCCAACAGATGAATCAAAAAGGTGTGCTTAACAGAAAGGCTTGAATGCAGACATTGACAAAGTTGTTGCAGATTCTTTAATCATGGACAATTTGACATCATGAAGCAGTTACTTCATTTATTCACTGGGATGATCAACTAATTCATATCATGGTGTTTGACATGCTGGCTCGAAAATGAAGCAAATGCCAGTGGTCAAAGGCATACGATCATTATTCTGGCCGAGATGAAGTGCTTCTCTGAACTTGCATGAAAATGTGCAATCTGGGTTAACATAGACAAGGGTTTGCCCATGCAAGTTCAACTTAACCCACAACAATTTGGCTGTGCAAGTTAAACTTGCATAGTAATTAATCGTGCAAGTTTAACTTGCACAGCAGGATCAACTTGCATGCAACATATATATATCTTGTCTCTACTCATGGATATGTATAGTATAAATACTGTATTAAGGGGAGACTATGAGCAAAAAATGTTGATACACATGATATATTGTATATGATTGCTATTTCCCAAATCACTTCTACAATATTAGTGACAGAAACCTCAAATTTTGCATGGACACTCAGAAATGACAAACCTAGAATATGTTGGGACCAGTTTTGACCAGTTATTATTTTTATTTTTTATGACTGAAGTGGGGAGCTAGGAGGCCACTGTCATCAAATTTCTTAATAACATGACAGAAATAGTTCATTTTTGCATGGGAAAATGGGAAATTTCACATTTTTGATCCTAACAATCAGTAGCTGCATGTTTTAACATGGAGTCCTATGAATTTAAAGAAATTTGGTTGATTTTTTTAGCTGTGGCTCGGGAAATGCCAGATGTACTAATATATTAGTTTTTTGAGAATATCTCAGAAACTGCTAGAGCTTGATGTAAAAATTATGTTGCCAAAATATTTTTGGAATACATGCTTTTCAATGGTACTAACGATTTTTTACTTTCTGCAAAGCATCTCAATTTAAATTTTTTACTTATAGTCCCCCTTAAAGATAAGTGAAAATTAATTATCTAAGCTGTTTTAAAAACTGCTTAAATAGATTTAATCCTCATGGCACTTGAAAAGTGTACCATCCAATGAATGGCCAGTTGTTAGTGACAGATTGTGTGGATGTTGTTGCAGGCTGAAGGAGTGCCATGCTGGATGTTTTTATCAGCTTTGCCTCAATTGATGGGGATCTTGGATCGAAGTGCAGGAGAAGCATTCCATTCAGTCCTGGAAGCTATTGCTTCTACCTATCCTCAGGCATTCCTATATCCCTTCCGTTGCAGCCAACCTGATTATCATTTCTCCTTTGTATCGGATGCTCGACAGAAGAGTCGGCTTCAGAGCTTCATCCAGCGGCAAGTTGCCTGGGGTCCTGAATAAAGGACAGACAGTTTCTGTTCATTTTGGATGAGCACTAAAAAGATATAGATTCAAGTCCAAATTAATAGAATGTTCAATTTCCAAAATATAAATGATAAAGTTTCATTTTCTTTTTTTCTCTCACTTTTTTCTCTCACTTTTTTCTCTCACTTTCTGGGTTCTGTGGGGGTCTCATCTTTTGTAAAATGTTTTATTGAATATGTATCTGCAAGTTTTGATTGCAGCTTTGCACTTCTATGGGTGCTGCAGCATTCCAGCACCTTGCAAAGCTGTAGGTGTCATGAGCATGACATTGAGGGTAAAGTTATTATAACACCCACAGTACTGATGGCATTCATGTTTACTATCTAAGAACTTCCTCAATATCCCCATCTTGCCATGAAGGAGTATGCGGTTGGGTGCTATTGGTGTCTGAATCATATTTTCCAGGTTGGACAATATGATGGAGAACCACAGAACCCTAGACACCTTGACAGAGGCCCTTAGTCGTGTGTGTTCCCCTGAGAAGATGATCAAAGATTGTCTGAGTGACACAACATCCCTCCTTCAACAATCTGGAAAGTACGGAGAAGCCAGAGAGAACGTGATCAACCTGTGTCGTGTGTTTGGGATGCAGCCACATCCCGACACCTCTCCACCTCTCTCAGGCAAATATTACCAAGCTTTCAGAGACAGGCTTAAGGGCTTGTTTGAGGAGGCATTTGGCACAGGTGCATCCAACATCCCCAAGAGTGGGAAGGCTTTCTATGAGAAAATAAAAAAGATATTTAACCAGCTGAGGGAAGTGAGCTTGAAGATTGTGCCTCCCGAGTCCTTGTCGTCATACTCACCATGGCTTGCCCGATTCTCAGCAACAGAACAGTCAATGGATGTGGAGATCCCAGGTCAGTACTCAAGTGTAGCCAAGCCCATCCCTGAACACCATGTTAAGATCTCCCGCTTTCATGACACTGTGAGTCCTCTTCCCTTCTCTTCTTTTGTCTGCCATGCTATTTCTGTCAAGTCTGTTAATTCTGTGTTATTCATTAGGTGTTATTCATCATTCATTAGGAGGCATCATTTGAGCCTCATTTCTTTGCATCGGTTTAGTTCTATGTAGTTATTTTTGCACTCAGAAGTGTTCTGGTCTCACTACTTGTGAAAACATTGCACTAAATTACCAGGGAGGCTTTGATGAGGTTTGTAATACCTCTTTCATGCTGCCCAATGAGAATTCTTCTAGTCATGGAGACAAAATATTAGATAAGCTAAAGGGAATGACACCATACTTAATAAATACTGCACCTTCAGTATATTGGACAGGCAGAATTGAAGTGTTTGCCTTATCCAAAGATGGACCATACATTTGTGAAGGCAGCAGTTTTGGAAACAGATTTATCCTGTCTATATTCCGAAACTACTCAGGTGCAAACACTTAATGCATTAGTAAAAAATAGCACACTGTAGCAACTCAGCATTCATATCATGGAAGTACACAGAAGCACCAATGCTTCATTCCTGAAGGCATTTTTCAATGCCTTCATGTAAATATGTTCTACCAAGCACAACAGGCAGCAGACTCACTGTTATGTTTCATTAGAAATGTATTTGCAGGGTTTACCTTTAGAACCCAGCTGGTATGCATTATTGGGTGTTTTTTGAAGTCAGGCAACAAATACCCTATTGGTATTCATTACCTGAATTGTCTCATTATCTTGTCCTTCATATTACTGATATGACTGAATTAATGCAACTCTAATATGGGTAATTTTTTATTTATTTCTCTGTTATGTTGATTTCATGCTTAGGTGAAGCTGTTGCGGTCAAAGCAGGCACCTCGCTGCATTACAATCCTGGGGAGCGATGAATGTGAGTACCGCTTCCTGGTGAAATGTGGGGAAGATTTGCGTCAGGATCAGCGCATTCAGCATCTCTTCACCATGATGAACTCCATATTCAACCAAGACCACATGTGTAGACAGAAGGGGCTCTCCCTTGCCACATACAAGGTTCAGAGTCTCACCTTTAATACTGCATGATACTCAATGAATAGCCATTGATGTGATTGTGTGCCATGAAAAGTATGAATTGAATTATGAGTAATTTCCATGATTACTGTTTAAATGATTACTGTCTGGCCTGGCCTTAGAATTTCACTATGTATCATGGATGGTGAAATTTGGTGGTAATTTCAAATTTTGAAAATTATTGTCACAATTTTGTTTGAGTCATTTGAATGAAGAAGCTGCATGTAGCACCATCTATACCAGCACTGGAATACTGATACAGCAAGACTAGAAAATGATGCGAAATACTCATAAAAACCTGAAGTTGGTGCATCTCTATGAATTATGAATTTATGATTATTGAAAATTCTTATGTGATTTTATGATTGTGTAGGTGTTGCCACTGAGGGGGAGGCTGGGCTTAATTGAATGGGTTGAGAACTCTATGACATTGAAGGAGTTTCTACTATCATCCTTATCTCCAGCTGAAGTCAAACGGTATGCTTGTTAGCAATCTAAGTTGTAATGGTAGTCTTGTGTTTCTTCCACCAGGAAGAAATTCTGTTATGCCTCTGATGGAAATGTAATGGGAATCTCGCCCAGGTTGGATGAGGTGCGAGGGAAATACAGCAATTGGATAAAGAAGAGTTCTTCAGGCAGTGAACCTGGGGTCCAGTATGCCAACATGCTCCTCACCCATTCAGATAAAGAAATTGAGACCAAATTTAGGGAACTTGTGAATCTACTTCCTTCAGATGTCCTTAGGTGGGTCCACCCTTACATCACTTTTATCTGTTTTTTCTTGCAAAGTATTTTTCTCTCAAAATGTCTTGTAAGTTAAGGTAAATCTTCAAGAACCTAATGAATAGTAAATATTAAATAAAGATGACAAATCTTGGGATGAATGTACTCATATGTATTTCAAAGCTTTATGTGAGTGATATCTATTTATTCATGCTGGGCCCTGCATTGGGTGAGGAAAGCTCATCCACCGATCAAGCAGAGGCCATGTTTGACTTTAATTACAGTTAATTTGTGATATGCTGTGATATAGCTTCAAGACCATTTTGCAACTTCAAAAAATCCAAATGATGGTACAATCCCATGAATTTTCTTTTACATGATGAAGACAGAAGGAACTCATTAATTTTTGTGATGGAGTGCAGCTCTGATTTTTGTGCATGCTATTTTATGATACCCTTGATGTTTACTTGTGTGTCACATGGAAAAACTCTTCATAAAAACCCATTAATATCTCATACTCTGTGTGTCAATCCACTTTGAATGACAGCCAGAATGGATTTGCATGCATTAACAGACGAAGCTTCTTGCGACTGAGTGGAGGTTCCCGAGGGTACTTTGTCCTGCGGGAGAACTTTGCCCGTAGCCATGCAGTACTCAGCATTTCCCACTGGATCTTGGGGATAGGAGATCGGCATCTGGAAAACTCCATGATCTCCCAGGCTTCTGGCATGGAGATAGGCATTGACTTTGGCTATGCATTTGGTGTAGCCACCCAGTTCCTCCCAGTGCCTGAACTCATGCCCTTTCGCCTCACCCCACAGATTCTCAATCTCCTCATGCCACTCAAGGAAGCAGGTGAAAATTCATCATGTGAAAATTCAATCTCATCACTGCAGATCTGTATGAAAATCAATGGAACATATTCCTATCACTCTCTCTAAGGCACATTGTGTGAGATGATGCGACATGCACTTGGTGCCATCAGGCACAAAGAAGCCTCAGTATCTCTGCTGTCTGTCTTGTCTGTTTTCATTTGGGAACCTGGTCTGGACTGGAAACGATTGGCAATTCAGGCTATCGCAGGTCTGGTTTTACTTTTTAGCACTTGTACAGTACTACAATGTACCATACTCTAATTGCCCATTATCTTTATTTAGTTCAAAGTTCCTCCTAGTTGACTGTATGTGATTTATGTTGTTATTGGACAATGTTGTCTCACAGGGAAGAACAAAGGAGAACGTGAAGATGTGTCCTGGCTCCCCCGTCAGAAAGTAGACATTGTCAGGGCTAAGCTTGAAGGGCTGAACCCTGCTGAGGCAACAGCCAGGGAACTCAAAGAAAAGCCTGGGAAGTTCTTGACGTCTCATTGGGGACGTGAAGCACAGCGGGCCCTTGAGAAATATGTGGAGGTGGTAAGGGCCAAAGGGAAGAGAAGTGCTCGCTCTGATCTTCCTCCAGAAGGTCTTGATGTAAAGAATCAGGTGTTATGCCTTGTGGATCTTGCTACTGATCCCCTCATTCTTGGTTGCACTTTTGAGGGATGGAATCCATGGTTTTAGAATCTAGTCATTCCCATTCATCTTGATAACAAGTATTTCCTTCTCAAGTATGTAAGGTCAACTATCTTCATCTTAACCAACTATTAAGGATAGGTGTGACAAACCCATGCCCTTTGCCAACTCAGCCCAGGTTAGCTTAGGGGCTTTACTTAAGAATGAGCTTCTGTTTATGTTGTTCATTGCAATTAGTCAGTTCCTCGAGGCATTTTACTGTGGAGTCTAGACTACAGCCTCATAGACAAAAAAAGACTATCTATTTCTAAGTATATATGTATACAACAGGCTTAATATCCAAAATGTCTGCACTGTACTTACACGTTGCAAGGTCTTGTTTTAATTACTGGAGGAGTAAATAAAGACTATCCTAGTACCTGATGTGATAAGCCCAATTAGCCCAATTAGCTGGTTTTGATCGTAGTACCCAAAAGACAGTTGAAGGGACTTGAAAACATTTCTGGTCTTACATAAGCATTGGGCTTTTCCCTACCTTCTCACCCTCTTATCTGGGATGCTATTTTCTAGTCTTTTGCTTATAACCGTGGTCTATTGACTTGTTATGCTTATCAGTTAAAATTCAGCTGGGCCTAGTGTTGTTCATATGCCTCTTCTGTACATAAGTGACCCTCCATTTCAAGTACCTGAATGATTGGGTTCTTTTAGAACCAGTACTTGAAAGCATAAAGAGTTTGAGTCTTCATACTAAGATATTTCGTTATGTATTTGATAACAGATTGCAATGTATTAAGGATTCAGGTGTTTTACTCTGGCATCATCTGCACTCTTAAATTCCTTTCTCTTTTTTTCACTCTGTGATTCATTTCCATGTGCTGTGATTTCCACTGTGCCTAATGCAATGCTGCTCACAAATTCCTGATAGCAGCTTTAAATGTTGAAATAAAAACAGATGCATAAGGGTAAAACCCTTGACAATTTTTTATTCTTGAGGCATTGAACACATTCAGTAATACAATGTTTTGTATTACTTCAATCCATGTTCTGTTCTTTTGCTGGAACATGCAAATGTTCCAAAACACTATTATGCCTGCCTGGGAAATTCCATGTGGAATTTTTTAGGAATTTTTCATCCTGTGAAGGCAGAGATTTCATTATGAACGATTATATAGTATTATAAGATGTGGTTTAGTGTAGCATTCACAGACAATTTATAGTTGTGTGAAAGTTATGTTTTTCTCATGCAGTAGTTTTTTTCATATGATGTCAATTAAATTTCAATTTATTATTTGCATTTTTATCCTTACTTTTTTGGTACTTACTGTATGTTGATCCTCATACATCTGCATAAAAAAAAGATGAGCAGGATCACCTCAGGAGAATTCACAAACCTCAATGCCTTGGTGGCAGACCTGGAGGACTCGTCGCAAGCATCAGCTGTCGATGTGGTTGCACGAGGACCAGATGTGGTTCCACCTCACTCTTCGGAGATGGTGAACTTGGGTCCCCTGTTGGCAAATGATCCTCTTCAAGTCTCATCTAGTGGGGAAGTGGAGGAAGAGATCATTGAGTGTGATGTGATTGAGATTCATGAAGCTCCTCCAACTTCAGCTTTTGTCCCAGTGAGTAAGATTTCAACACAGAATGTAGTGGAGAACTCAGCTCATTCTGAAAAAATGAAAACTCTGCCATCTAAGCACACAAAATCCCCAAGGAAGAGGAAGGGCGATGGAAAAGGAGGCAAGAAGGTCAAGAAAAGAAAGTCTAGGAAATCCATCTCCAAGGAACAGGTAAAATATTGCATTTTTCAATGAAATTATTACACTTGTGCCAGTGACTGATTTCTATATCATCTTGAATCTTTTTAATGTTCTTTTGATCTGTATTGGAGTCTAGCTAGCCATTGCAATATGAATTATCCTGCATTCCCATTGCTACTTGTCATCTAGTGAATTTTGTGTTTCTTGTCTGATGAGTTGCATTTAAATTTGATTTTATTTTTAGCTTGATTTTTATCTTGGGGCTATTAGCTATCCACAGAGTATACATCTGAAATGGGATTGTGTGCCCTAGCAGGATTTCTATTTAGCCAATTCTTGCAAGTGCTCAGAATAGGAAGAATGAAGCCAACTGTTTCTAATTGGATGGTTTTGACAATCCAGTGTCTGTCTTGGATCCTAGTTTTCAGAAATGTACAGGGTCACCTGCAACAGTAGGGGTTGAGTTCAATTTTTGTTTTCATACATAAAGTCCTCAAGAGATATGCTGTCATTTTGTCATTTGAAAGGATGAAGAAGATGAGTGTGGGCTGGAAGAAGATGATGATGAAGATGGGGAAAGGGAATGGAGGAAAGAGGGAAGGAGGAAGCAGGCACGGGTCATCCCCCCGGTCTATTTCAAGAAGGAATCCCTGAACCTCATCTGCCAATGGGACAACTGTGGTGACACCCTATCCAACATGGAAGAATTCCTCAATCATCTCACTTCTCATCTCTCTACCCACACTCCCCAACAAACAGGTCGCAATCATACCCTCATCACTCCCTCTTATATTCCTTATGATGATTGCCAGCAGATACATATATGATGAAATTCACCTACCAAAGGAAGAGAGCACGATGTTTCAAGTTTTTACTTACTGAGGAACCAAGAAGAAACTAGAAGTTTGGATTTTCCATCCCCCCCCCCCAATTCATGGTGAACCAGCTATGATTAGAACAAAAGTGAAGAACATAAACACCTGTTGTATTTTTGTTTTTTGTGGGGTTTTATTGTTGGACATGAATTTACTTGATATAAAAGTCAATTGTACTTACCTAAGAGTCACTGAAGTTGAAGAGCCTGGAAGTTGTACATGAGGATCAAGGTTTCATTAAATACTAGTCATGTCTGTCACTAACAGCTGAAAAGTATATGAGTAGATATGATTTGAACTTGTGAGTCTGTCTTCTTGCATGCAGGAGATGGACGTGAATTGAGGTTCAAGTGTTTGTGGGGTCCATGTGAGTTTACAATCCCAGATCCAAGGCACATGGAGAGACATGCATTCTACCATGCCTTCCTTGCCAAGATCATGTGCATTGGGGTCAATATGCTCTCCCGAGTTTCCCTGCCGGTATGTTCCGGACCAATAGATGATGCCAGATCATCTATTGGTCATATTTTACCTCATCTGGCTGTTTTTTAACCCTTTCAGCATGAGCATGTCAAATTTTGCTCTTTATTTACCCCTTATGTAACTAATAGTCAACATTTGCATTTTTTTTCATGGCTGATTCAAGGGTTATGCATTTGACAGAAATGGAACAACACTCAAAGTGTTAACAATATGTGTATGCACAGCCTGTTGTCAGCAAGCCCTTTTAGCTCACAGTGTAGTGTCAGTGAGTCTGTCCCTGAGCAGATTAAGTATTATTTTGTGTACATATGTTTGGTGTAGAATGGATTGGCTTGAATTGATGAGTGAAAGATGTGTTGAAACAGGATTGCAGGATGGAAGGCATTGTGCCACATGCACAGATTCCCAGCTTCCCTGAATCCTTTCGGTGCAAGTGGTCCGATTGCAAGCAGATCTTCAACAATCCTCAGGAATTTTATTGGCATGTTGAATGGCATGCAGAAGGGAATCCACGCGGGAATAATCCCGGCTGCCCTATTCCTTGTCTCTGGGATGGTTAGTCTCTTCTTTTCTTGCTCTCACAAGAGATGGAAGTCAGACTGAGCATTTTGTCCTGTTGTAGGGTGCCAGGGAAAGTGTCAGTCCTTGTACAAGCTACGGGAGCACTTGAGACACCATTCTAAAGAGAGGGTGGTGGCTTGCCCCTCCTGTGGAGCTGGGTTCTTCTCCCGCACCCGCCTTTATGATCATCTTGTTCGACAGAAAGGTCTCAATTCCCTTCCCCTCAGAAGAATGCCTCATTATATGTCATGGAAAAAACTAAGTGCATTCTACTTGGAAAAGTATAATAACTAAAACTTGCTTGTTTTGCTGCTGTCACCATCAGTCAAAAGTTGTATCAGTTTTTCTGGTTTTCCTGACTTATTGACCTTGAAGCTTACTTCTAATTCCATATGCTATAGATGAGAGGAAGCACGAGTGTCCTCACTGTGGCCGCACAGTGGCATCAGAACGCATCCTGCGGGAGCATATGCAAGGACATGTGAATCACTACAAGTGTCCTATCTGTGACATGACGTGTCGCTCCCCTTCTGCTGTTTCTCTTCATATGCAATATCGACATGTCAAGGAGAGGACCATCCCCTGTCCCTACTGCCCTTACAAGTTTGTCTCTACATGCCTATTATTTTTGCGAAGCACTCAATTTCTTTTTAATCATGAAGCTTAACATATGGATACTTTCCTTTGAATGCAATGGTAAAGTTAGAAAAAATGGACAGACTTATGGACCAAAACATTCCACCTTTACTATATCATTGATCCCATTGGTTTTCAGAGTGATGAACTCATGCATGAGTGTGTTGGTCATTGGCAACAAATACATAGCTTCATGCTGATTTTCTGCGACATTATGGCTAGATCAGTGCTGCACAACCCACAGCCCACAGAGACCTTTTTTGTGGCCCCCTGGATGCCTCCAATCTCTAAAAATACATACTGATATATTCACACCTGATTTAAACTTAAAATGTAAATAGTCTGCCACCTCCCCCCAGGAGGTTCTGAGTAGATGCGGGCATTAAAAATTGCTGCACTGTGCGAGGGCTGAGTGGCTGTTCCCTATGCACGTCAGGCCATATTTGATGGTATCTGGGGCCCTTGAACATGAGCAGAAACTTTGATTTGGCTCTTTATGGGAAAATGTTATGCACAGCTGGACTAGATAGTGTTGTGGAGAGAACTGTGCCTTTTTCTCCCTCTGATCTCATAACAGACCCATTTGAAAAGGACATCATCCAGATCCTACCAATTTTGCACTCCTGTCCTGCATGGCTATAGTGGTGACTGTGTTCAGTCATTAGATTCATCGGTTTACTCATTCATCAGGTTGCTTACAAGCTATCCCCATGTTGTAGGGCAAAGAACCGGTGGGACATGAATCGTCACGTGAAAACACACGACGACCGAGGTGTACTGAGATGTGATGCCCCAGCGTGTGACTTCTCGTGTCGTTCCCGCACCACCCTCCGCAAGCATAACCGACAGGTACTCCTTGTTGCGACCTGATTCCAAATTGTGTCTCTTGTGGCTCAGATGAAGTTTCTATTTGTCAAACAGGAACATGCCAAGGAGACAGAACCCATGTATGTATGTGATGTATGCAATGCTCAGTTCAAACGGGGAAATTTCCTCACCAAGCACATGTTCAGAGTTCACAACTTTCAGTGGCCATCAGGACATGTTCGATTCAGGTGTGTCTCTCTTCTATTGTTTTAGATGGTTGCTAAATCTTATGCTCTGACTTCCACAGGTATTGATGAAGATGACAGATGAATTACGGTACTACTGGAGTTCCTGTGATCCTGGACTGTGCTCTCTATTGATTAATCCACCAGCCATTAATATCCTCTCAGAATTCTACAGCTGTGAAATTATTGATGGAACATCATAAAATTATTGAAAGTTAATGGAATGATATCATAGAGCCTTTGAATACCATCAGACAAACAGATAATTTATTCATTCAATCTTGTCAATCATTTGTTTCAGTAACACCTTGCATGGATACTGCATACTGACATTTAAAGAAAAATTCATCACCCTGCCTGGATAGTATCAATTAATGGGGATGTGATGCAATCAACTTGCTTCTGTTTTTAATTGTAATTAGATATGATCCATTTATATGTTATAACATTTGAAACTAGTGTCAAATGTTACATTCTACTTATTTTAGAGACCTTGTATGTCTTAAAACCTCATATTGGAAGATGATGAATGATGTAAGTAATTGTGTTCTGGTGATGACTAGGTACCACAAAGACAAGGACGGGAACTTCCGCCTTCAGACGGTTCGTTATGAGAGCATAGAGCTGACCCAGACCCTGCTGGGTCGGGTCAACGAAGAGACGATCTCGCCTCAGGAGACAAAACCTGCCATGGTCATCTCTCTCTGTGACTTGACAGAGGATGGAGAACTTGTTGTGCGACCTGATCCAGAAATGATTCTCTCTTAGCATCTTCTCCTGTGACCTATGACCTCATTTCCTTTTCTAAATAGTGTTGGAAACCTCAATGGTGTACACATGAGAAATTGACATTTCTCAGTCTATTTTTATAACATCTTGTAAAATATGAGCTGGCACGTCCCAGAGTGTCTTCTTAATACTCTGTAAACGGTCTGTTCATAATAAAGGGCATGTGATGCTTCTGAGAATGAAGTTTTTGTGAACAGTGATGTTCAGAGTTGTAAAGAAACCACTCTACAGGGTGTAACATGTCACTAATGGAACGCGAAATGATATAAGTAAATAATTATGTTATGCTATTTTTGAAACGTAGAAGGTCTAAAGTTTTGTCCGCCTCATTTTATGTAATGGCTTTTTACATTCACCACTGAGCAGCTAGTCGCTGTAGTGAACTGTACTACGAGAGCAAAAGTATCGCACGAGCGCAGCGGGACTGGATGTTCTTTTGCTTCTCCGCCACTAGCACGAAAGACCGTTCTTGACCGCGGGCGAAAATTCGAATCTACAGTAAATTCGAGTCTATTCGCCAACTCGCAATTCGCCAATTGTTCAGCTCGAATACTTAGGTCGCCGAAATTCATCGACCTCAGAGAGACAAATTATTGCGGTTGACCTGAGTGAATTAGAATTAGTCCACCGGAGTCTTCACGAGCTTAAGGGCCCTCGTAAGCCGTTTTGTGGAGAAATTTGGCACCCGTGTACCCAGAGAAAATCGTTTGCAATCTTTCATCAAGTCAGCGAGTTGAATATATGATGAGTTCTACTCGGTAGAATATACTGTAATGCAAGGAGTTAAGCATTCGAGTTGAGCAATCGGAGAAATTCGATTAATTGAGTAGTCGGTGAATAGCGAGTCGGCGAATTAGCTTTCTACAAGTTGAGCAATAGGTGAGTCGTCAATCGACAAGTCTTCATTCGACTAAATGAACTTTCAGAGTTGTAGTCGGCGAGTTAAGCGGTCACCATGTCGCCCACCCATCTGAAGCATGCGCAGCCAGCACTGCGAGCACGAATAACTGTCACCTAGGTCCGGCTGGCAAGACGACAAACAGGCTGTATCCCCCCCCCCTCCTCCACCCCTCTTCCTTTCATCCCTCCACAATTAGCATTCGGCGCACCACATTGTAGGCACTGCTGTCATGTGACGCAGGCCGTGAGCGTCCACGATAACGAAAGTACCGCGAACGATTACGCCAATTCCTTGTGACCCACCGTAGACGGTACAGAAACACGAGAAGGGACAGAACACACCTGCATCGAGTTGTTTTTATTCGCAGACGCTTTCAAATGTAGCAAAGCGAAATCTGAAAGTTCCCTCTTTCCGCCTCTCCGCCTTCCCCCCCCCCCCCCTCCCGGTGGAGTCAAGCGACCGGCCAATTCCTCCTTCAGCTCGTTGAATTCAGAGGCGACTGATAGCAGACGACGCTTCTTCTGTCTACCAATCCGATTAAATTATCCAGCGGACGAGTCGTCTGCTAGTGATAGCGAGATGGGCGCGAAGTATGTGAACGAAAAATGATTCGAGAGCAATTTCCAGGATGGCGTGGAAACACCTTGTCTCGACAAATATAAACATTTTTACGAATGAGAAACGTATTTGTGAGCGGTGGGAGATAATTCCGAAGAGAATAGTTATGGAAATTCTATTATTGCGTCAGACGTTCATCAATAGGCGCGGTAGCACCTATTACCTTTCTTCATACCCTTCCCGCAGCAAAATTCAACCTTCTCGTATTCTTCTCTGAGAACATCAACAGGAACAAAATTTGGCATACTATAACGGGCCGCCGCCCTTCCAGTCATGTCGTCCAGGGGAAGGGAAGGGAGGCAAGCTGATTGAGGAGGACAGAAATCAGTGTGATAAGCTGAGGGGAAAGGGGAAGAAGTATGAGGGGACATTATCCCAGGGATGCCGGATCTGGATCACCATCCCCGCTCTTCCAGAGGTGACCTCCAGTCAGGATCCGGATCACAATATCCTTTGGACATCCCCGTCCAGAAAACCCACGTCGCAACCAAGGGTTCATGAGACAACCTCATTCCCAAAACCATTGGTTGGACAGGTACATGTTCGGAGATACGGACCCAGAAATTAATGAAGATGATTTTGTCCTCGAATGTGTTCCCCAATGAGAACTGTTCCTGGGAGTTGGACAACCAATGGGCGCGAGCTACCACCCAAGAATCCCTCCTCCAGGAACCTCCTCTAGATCCTGAAGAAAAAGCAAGAACTTCGTCCGAGAAACCAGTTCCGAGCTGATCGGGGACTCGGCCCTACTTTTGATCGTGGTTCCCTCCCTCAAAATTATTCTTGTCCTTTTTATCTCCTCCCCTACCAAAGATTTGAAGTGTCCCTTTGGTCTCGAAGCTTCACATTAAATTCAATTCAGTGACGAGTATCTGAGGACAGGATACGTGAGTTTCTTTCGACCCTGAGTAGTATTTCCGAGCCAGGTGCTAGGGACATAGCGTGGGTAAGGGATTAAGCCTGGGGTAAATCTTTATCTAAATCCTTAGGGATCGAAATTCATTCCATTTGTTATGTGAGACGGACCGGTTCTTTTTCTGTTGATTAGGGTTCCTAATACATTTTGTTCCTTTTATTTCGACACTGTCCTCCAAGGGTCAATATTACATTATTTTGTGTTCTTTTTTTGTTAAGTGAAATTCAATTCTCATAATAAATCAATCAATCAGACTCGGTGTGGTGATACTCCCTTCTCGAACTTGAACAGGCACGAATCTCGCTCACCAAAAGGAGTTCGTGGAATTTTGTCCGGTGCGGGACGTTGAGAGAGTGTAAAGGTAATTTTTTGTTGTTGAAGAAAGTGAATTACCTAAAATCACATAGAAAATTAGAGAAAGTAGGTCGTTCCTTTGTATTTAAGTGATTGATACAATCCGACCCACTGCGTCCCGTGCACGTGACAATACTTCTCTCACCACAGAATCGCTCCAGCAAATTTGAGGCTCCATCTCCCCGGGGTTGTGGAGAACACTGAATCGCGTTTTTGGAGGATGTGAATTTCATTCCGTTTTTCTTTTTTCTCCTTCCCCCCCTGGGTAGCCACCTGGGGGTTCCGGAGGAAAGAGACCAACCATAAGAATTATATTGACTCGTAGATGACGAAAAGTGGCTTTTTTGTTGTCTGCGATGCTCCATTTCGCCATAAAAAATTAAATTACGTGTCGTTCAATTAGGCTTAGAGTTCTTGCACAGGTACCGTCCCCAGTGTTGCCGGATACCGTGCCAAAATTACGCCAGATTTAAGTCAGTTTCAACCTTCGTATTAGCGTCTGGATCTTCAGTTTTTTTATGTATGAGACATTTTTGTGCTGAGTTCATGCATTGAGCTGAAAATGAAGCGGTGTTTAGCAGTTATTGATCGATGTGGTGGGATATGCAGATATGTTATCCGGACATCCCTGAATAAACAGGATGGCGCGTACCATGGATTCCATGCTTCTTCGAGGCATTCAAAACTCAGACCTATTCGAGATGGTTCGAGGAACTTTAGATAAGCCTAACGTTACACGTCCTCTCTGAAATGGTTCGTGAACGTATTAATAGGCCTGCAATTGGCCGAACGTTACACGTCCTCAACCAGATGTCTCGAAGACCACGGATTCACCCTCATAGGTCAAATTGTAAGGTAAGTCGAGAATTGAGTTTTTATTGAAAATAAAAATGTAGGCCTTGGCGTGACCTGAAAGTGATCTGTTGGTTTGGCCTTGGCCGTTAGTTAGTGAATGCCGTAGTGAGGCGGGAGGGGTGGGGGGTTGAAGAAAGGGAAAGCCATTGAAAATTAGTTTTCTCATTACTTCATTTGAAATATAAGTGAACCATTTTAAAGCTAATATATTCCTCTTTCAAGTGTCACAAACCGCATTAAAATATTCAATATATGCAGTGAGTGAGGCATAGGGCAGTGTTTCCCAAACGGTGTGCCGCCAGAAAGGCTTAGATGTGCCGTGAGATTTGAGAGTTGACTAAAAAACTAAAAACCTAAAACTAAAAAAACTTAAAAGCAAGAGGGAAAGCCGTCTCAGTGGAAAACGAGTTGCATTATGACGCCTCGTATCAAACTGCTGTGTTCAGCGAAGCAAGCACAAGTTTCCCATTGAAAGTAAGTAAATGGCTGGGTGTGCCGTGGAAAGTTAGTGTCCTTATGTGTGCCGCAAAGAAAAAAAAAAAGATTGGGAACCACTGGCATAGGGTATCGAAGAAAATTGTCTGTTTTTTTTTGGCCCACCCTGTATATTCAGTAGAGCTATACCGATTACCACCTTTGGCCGGTGGGCCGATGGCCGATTTTCATCTCATAACCATCGGCCGGTGTCGGTGCAGATTTTCGTCTGAAAATTGATAAGTATCATGAAATTGCATACTGATTCAAATTGGCCTATTTGGAAGTCATGTGATACTTGTCAAGGGGCCCCCAAAAAACGATAGAGACCTTATTTTAGTACTGTCTGTCTGTGTTCGTCGGTGGTTAGCTTCTTACCTGTTCCTGCTGTTAAGAGCGTTTAACGACTCGTCTCTCGCAAAAGCATAGCATGAAAAGAGGTACAGAAGAGAGCATCGGACCCATGGGACGAGCGGCAAGAAATCAATTTCGTGGTGATCCTTCACTGAAAGTGGCATTTTTCCTCAAGCCGAAATAAACAACTGTGTAACTGAGATGCAACAAACTAGAGTCCCCCCTTTTTCAGGTGGATCATCACTCATGGGCAGCTGTCCTATGCAAAACCTTTGAGCCACATAGGTTCCATATTTTTCGAAAAAACCCTGGTACGTTAATTTTGACGACCACTGTAGACCCTGACACCCTCTGTCATGCGAAACTGACACTCCTTGGTCGGGCTCCTCCGAGAGACGCGGAAATGAGGGATCTCAGCGCTATAGATTATCTACAATGTTTTCCTTTCGTTTTTTTTTATAAAGATTTTCTGAAATTCGTACCAAGTCACCTTCGCTAGGTCGATCCAACGCAGCGGTGCAGCCAGGAAACAAAGGGTATAGGAAGGATTTGGGGGCGGGGGAGAGGGGGGGGGGGGGGTTTGCCTCTCCCCTGCAGCTCAGAGGCAAGTTTGAGCCCGCGCTGGACTTATTTCCGGCGTTTTATTAACATATTCTTCCAAAATTGAGCGGGAATTCCACTTGATTCTGCTGAAGCGTTTATTGATATCCAAGTATGTAC